GGTTATTATCAACCATGTATTCATTTTTATTATAATAACTCTTTTTATACAGTTGTTGTTTAATTAAATATTTAAACTTGGTAATAGAGAGTCCTTGTATATTTCTGGGACTTTGTTGTAATAGCGTATACATTGCCCCAAGAATGAATTGCTGACTGTGGAGTCGATAATTTGGTGTCACTAACTTGTGTTTATACCTAGTGTTTACAGAGTGTATATCACCTTTTTACTATAACTACCTTTGTTTTTGTGAACATACATTAAATTTTTATAGATATGTTGGTAGGCCAAAGTTAATTTTTTTTTAATTTTTCTCTAAGAGACTTTCTTTTATTTTTTTACCTCCACACTAGGATTTTCTCCGTATCGTGGAGGCAGTTTACATACATAAATTGCACAAGGACAAACATCCAGACCCAGAACAATTACTTGTAGCCCATACAAATACTTGTTCCGTGCGGGATTCGAACCCGCGCCCCTCAGTGCTATAACTCATTGCTAAGCTACCGCGCCACGGAGCCTACTTTCGGTTTAAGGTTGTATATAGCTCTTATGGCCCTCTTCTGCAAAACAAAAATAGTTTCTAAGTCAGCCGCATTCCCCCATAGCAAAATCCCATATGACATTATGCTATGGACATAACTGAAATAAACTAATCTGGCTGTCTCGATACTAGTGAGATATCTTATCTTTTTTTACGGCATAAGCTGCAGAGCTTAGTCTGCTTGCTAGTTTAGACATATGGTGGCCCCACTGAAGCTTAGCGTTGAGAGTGATGCCTAGAAAAAGAGAGGATTCAACAGGGCTCAGTTCTTCCCCATTTAAAAACACATTGGTATTCTGATTATTAACATTTGTTGTTGTAAATTTAATACATTTAGTTTTATTACCGTTTAAATGTAGAAATTAAATTGTTAAACCAATGCACTGATTTCGATATAGTATTAGCGATATAGGTGTTATAGGTGCAGAAGAACGTACAGGCATGTAGTGTATGAGTGAAGGTATGTGTGTGAGTGTGAAAGAAACTCCAAACATTAAAGAAAACAGTACAGAGTAGAAATAGATCAATCGTTCACAAATATCTTCTACTTGTGAAACTAGTGACTAATGACAGAAATAAAATAAAACTGTTTCCAGTGTTGTTTAATTTATTTTATTCCATTTTATTTTTGGACTACCTATAGATAATCAAATTATATTTGGCAGACGCCTGCAAGAGTGACTCATGGATATTCTAGATACAGTTTGATATAATTTAGTATTACTAGCTTGCCAGGCAGACGTTGTTTTGCCCTTTACGACGACCCTTTTTCATGTCCTATTAAAAATCCTTAAATTCGCTCGAATTTGAAACTGTAAGCTTCAAATTTACACACCACATCTCGATGAAACACATTTTTTTAATTTCCTAATTCACATGACGTTTCCAAAAATGTTTCATATTCATAATTAACACGGATAGTATGAAACAGAATCACTGAATCTGTCACTGTTACTGATTTTTTTTATAAAATTACGATTACGGTATGAGAAAATGCTTCACAAATTGAAAGAGGACTGATTTGTCAAAAAAGGTCGATTAGAGTTATACATGGATTGCAAAGATTGACGTCAGCTAGAGCCTTATTTCCAAAAAGCGAAAATCATGACTGTCGTGTCGTTATATGTTTATAGATCGCTTCTAGAAGTGCACCAGCAAAAAAAGTGAGCTACCAATGAAGATGCACGTACACAACTACAATTCTAGAAATCGCAAAGGATTAGTTGTTCCAAGAACCAGATTAGTCAAAGCGTACAAGTAAGGTTTTGCAATAAAATCAAAATGTACAATAAATTGCCTCTAGAAATAACAAGACTCACTAAATTCGTTTCAACAAGTGATTTTTTTTAAATCTTTATTTTCAAAAAAGGGGTTTGTCACACAGTGACTATGTTACCCCCGTGATATACACACAAAAATAATAACAGAAAATAAAGTAATGAACACATAATAACATAGAAAGTAACAGAGCTACATAAAATAAAATAAATTAGGCAAAACAAAAATAGATATTATGCAAAATCCTGTGATATGATTACACTTCTAAGTAAGAAAAGATTACATCTCGCTAAACTCACATTACATGTAAATAAAGTTTGATTAGCATTTTGGCCTCATGACAAAGTGGAGAGGATAGGATATCATTTCGACAATTGATACAAACATTATTTTTGAATCACGCTTTTTACAATATAGATGTTCATTTTCTGACTTGCTTGACATATAAAATAATGTAATGTAAATGAGATGTATTTTAATTTGTAATTTTAATAAACTAACGAAATCTTATATAATTGGAATTGTAATTTTGACGTACCAATGTTACGTTAATGTAACGTAATGGCAAATAAATAAAATGAAAAATTGAAACGGCTAACGAACTTACAGTCCATCTGAGGGTAAATACTGCGGCCCATGGACACCTCCCGCCAACTGCAAATGAAGGCTAGAGATGCGTTATTACCTCTGAGGACTAAGGTTTGTGGTGGAACCTATCTAGATGGACTCCTGGACAGGAAAGAAGTCCTACCACCAAGAAAATATAATATAGTATTATAATTTAATCAAAATTGTTCAAGTAAGTGTTGCAGTAATAATGCTTAGACTGTTGGGCTTAGCAGAGATTAACGAGAGCCAATTTGATGTATTGTGCCGAAGAGACATTCATAATGAATAGTCCGTTCGCGTTAAGAAAATAGTGAGTCATCAGTGCAACTACAGGGTAAAGGTGTGTTCACAGTGGAGTAAAAATTCTTTTTTTTTTTTCAAACATTTAATTAAGTTTAATGGAAACAAATTTTCTTTAAATTACTTAAATCACTAATCAGTATCGCTAGATTCTCCAGTTACATTAATTATGAAAGAATTTTGTTCTGCACGTTCCATGATGCCATCCAAATATCACGTGGTCGCAGCACTTCTTCCAACGATTAGCGTCTATTAATGCTGTTGCGTCATCTAATAATTTTTTATATCACTCATTTTGAACGTGGAGTTGGATTAAGTTTGCAATGGTAAGGCGGTAGGCAAAGAATTGTAATGCCATTAATTTTGGCAGTCTCATCTATTAAATATTTATTATATTGTGGGGCGATTTCGGCAACTTTCATTAATAATTCTTTTTTTAAATAAGTTATGTCCATGGATTTGCCTTTGCTTTGCAGCCAATCTATTATTTGCTGCTTGTTCCAGCTGGTTGTTGGTATTTTTTCGACTCTTACGGAATGATAGGGAGCGTTATCCATGACAACCACACTTCCTGGTTCTAGCTTAGGCATTATATTAATGAACGAATTAAGGAACCTTTCGCCATCCATCTCTTCATGATAGTCATTTGTAGACTTAATTTCAAATACTAGTAGACGATCTGAATCTTCCACGAATCCTTTGTCGCTGCCAATGTGCAATACAATTAACCTTTTACCTTTTCCTGTCGGAGCTTTTGGACCGGCTGATAAGCCATCTAGAAAGGGTTGTTTTATATTTTTTACCGTGTCCGGCGTTTACCCACGTTTCGTCAAGATAGTAAATGGTTTTATTAGCGGCTCTGTATTCTTTTATTTGCCTCAGATATTTACGCCTCCATAAAACAATATCTTCTCTTTCGACTAATAATGTTCTGCTATCCTGTTTATTGAAATCGAAACCAAGCTCGTGCATTATTTTATAGTTTTTTTATAGTATCGTAATTCATAATTGAAAGTCATGAGCCAAGTTGCTCCGGGTCCCGGAGCGACGGACAAATGGGAACGAACAAATGTAGAATTAAATATCGAATTTATCGCTAAACGATTATCTCGATTTAATTTAAAATCGCCCCGTAAATCTCGTTATCGAGTTGTGATAGACTGCCTATTAAAAGTTTGCAATAGTTCTGTTACTACAGGAGATGTAGAGTGGATTGGTCTGTGTTTACATACCTATTAAAAGTTATATGTCTACTTTAAACATAAAATAATTTTGTCAATTTGTAATCCTCAAAATAAAAATTATTATACTGTATTTTGATTAAGCTTTGTCTTAAAGCTAGTAATAATTTTTTTGCTTAGATTCGTGTATTGCAATAAAATGATCTGTCTTACCTAATTTGAGGAGGACATTCTTCACTCAATTGCGTGCACTGTATCAAAAAACTTTATCAAAAAAAAGTATTATGGGCATGGCACCTGTTATTTATAACAAAATCCCAAATTATGTAAAAAAATCAACCTATAAGAATATTTAAAAAGTCTTACTTCTTTGCTATTGGAGAGGTGGTATTACTCAATATCGGTCTTTTTAAATGATATCATTTCTAAGTTAATTACTTTATTGTTTATATTACATAATTATGTTGTTTATGTTAATAATTTATAATGTGTTACACTATCTGTAATAATAGTTCTATAATATAAATTTATGTAATAACAATAATAATAGAGTACTTTTAATTATGATAATGTAATAACTATCCATACTCATAATTATCATATCAAATCTATTTATAATTAATTACTAGTGTTGTTAAGAAATAAATTTTAATTTAATATTTGCATGCCAAAATGGTAGTATGTACGGATCTTTTAACTCCGTCGACATCTTATTGTGAATACCTACATTCAAGGCAAATAAATAAATATTATTATTATAGCGCAGGTAATTTAAATAAATTTTTCATTGAAAATAAAAATAAAAACCCTGAAACAAAGAAACTGATGACCTTCAAACGGCTGAATCTATTTGGACAAAAAATGCCTAAGAATCGCTGCTTGATAATAGCGGCAAAACAATAACACCCCTCTTTTTTATCGGAGGTTAAAAAGCAATTTAACCTGGTTACTTTATTTATATTGTAAAAACCAATTTATATATACTAAGAAAAATAAACCTTTGAGCTATTTCTAATCCTTGTAATTCTAACTATAGATTATAGAATAAACTATTCACTGGAAAATTCACTCCTTTTTTATTTTTGCAGCATTACCGGGAGCGCCGACTGAAGTGAGAGCATCAGAGATTACGGCTACAACTGTTCGATTAGCCTGGACTTACAACGGGCCCGAAGAACCCCAGTACTATGTCATACAGTACAAACCGAAATACGCAAATCAAGTAAGTCGAAAACTCTATGTTCAGTTATAAGCTTATACAATGTAATAAATACTCACTGAAAGTGTAATTAAAGGATATAGAATCTAATTTTTTTTAGTCCTTCGAGCCAAATAACTAACATTGAATATTTCTACAGGCGTTCAGCGAAATTTCCGGTGTTATTACTCAGTACTATTCGGTGACGAATCTGTCTCCATACACCGAATATGAGATGTATGTTATCGCAGTTAACAACATTGGTAGAGGGTCGCCTTCCGCGCCGGCAGTCATCACGACAGGAGAAACAGGTATGAAATCTTATCTGCCTACCAATACTGTTGATAAGCTACTTATAAGAACTATGTTTTTTTTCACGATCTGTTCTACCGTAACTTAAAATTTACCTGCGGAAAATGTAATTGTATTAAAACATTATTGAATACCATGCATGTTACGAGTACATCTACAAACTCAGCTATAAAAACTTAAATTTACAATGCTGACTATATATTTTTTCCTTTTAAGAATATGCTGAAAATTTCTAAAATATTAAACATAACTAGCAACTGCGCCTTGAGCTAATTTTGAACATCATCTTATATTTTAAACAGATAATTATAACTTTTTTCCAAACCAGTCATGCGCTTTTTTGTAATCGCTTAAATTTTTAAATAGAGACATTATTTCATCGCTTTATCGTTGATTCTATATTTTATTTCTTTTCTTGCTCTGAACTCTGAGTTTTAAGGTGTTTCCTTTTATCGTTTTTTCATGCCAACTTTATATGCGATATGGCATCGCCGCTGCTTAATGTAAGTTCGGTTTCAACTGATTCGTATTATTTGTTTTTGGTGTTCTTTTTTAATTTCATTTGCACTTACCTTTTTACTATTTACGTGGTAGTTGTAGAGCGTTAATTTCTTTGAGCTCCTCATGCACCATTTCCTTTTTAGGATCAGCTCCGTTGTGGATGCGATATTATTGATTTGTACACGTTTGTTGTTTTATTTATCTACGGCACTAAATATTTGTGTGTACATTATTAATGTTGTAACTTGCTTACTAACCATAGTTTTTCTTACACATTACAGTGGACTCTTTGTATGGAGGTGCCAGTAAGTATCACTGTATAATCTCTTATATCATAGTATAATACATAATTAAACTGTTTATATAATAAACCAGCGATCTGTCCCGGTTTCGGATGTGATGACACCTATATAGTGTCCAATTATAAATCTAAACCATCTAAGGACCCACTTAAACACACAAAAAATTTCATCAAAATCGGTCGTGCCGTTTTTGAGTTAAAGCTAGGCCAACAGATAGCAATTGATTTTTATAATATAATTGATAAAATCAGACGTTACTTTGCGGAAATTCATTATAATAAAGATATTAATAGTTATTTTGCAACCATCCGCTCAGTGATATAAAATGATGTGTCTTACCTAGTTTGAAGAGCACCTCCCGCCCTACCTCAATTGCGTGCACTATTCCCGTCACCACTAATCCCAGCACCACTACTCCCAACACCACTACTCCCAACACCACTATTCTAGGAAAGACACACCTTCGACGATAATACGACACGTGTTTCGCCTCTACACGAGGCATCTTCAGGTGATGTAGACTTTACGGCGACGGCTATTATAAATCTGTATCATCACCACCGTTACAGCTCAAAACAAATGTACTATTCCCCACGGAATGCCACAATGCACGGCTCTGACCGACCTGCATCCATCGACTTCTTGCATCTCTTATAAGATCGTCACTTCATCTAGAGGGGCGCTGCCCTACATTTCACTTGCCGGTACGGGGCTGCCACTCGAGAATCTTTCTTCCCTATCGGTTGTTGTTTCTTCAAGCTATATTGCTGGCCCATGCTTTTCATTTACCTTAATAATCCGTTGTGCTATGAATCTATACATAAATTCTTATAGACATAAAAGCATTTACAATTCTGTAAAATCAATGTTGTAAGTAATAAAGATGAATCCGAACAAGCTGCACAACATTATTGTTGAAGTGGCAGTTGTAAGTTCAATTGATCGATTTTCATTGTTGTTGAGTATAGGTCTTCCAAAAATTGTTTTTTTTAAAGGGCATGGGTGACAAACAAACACACAGTCCTCCTGATCTTCGATTACAAATAAAAAAGCACATGCGTTGTCACCCGTGAGCACTAAGATAGAATGCCTCGTGTCCAGAAAAAGGGGCTCCGGTTCTCTACAGTCACCATACGAAATACAGCAGCGTTAAGCTGCTATTTTGCGCCGGTATTCTGTGAGAGCGTGGTTCTTCCGCGGTCAAGCCGACCCATTCCTGCTATAACTATACAGCGAATATAGCTTCAGCATGGCTTTACCACGTAAATGTTCTCCTTCACCACGACTACGCTATACCAGACGCTTTCCCCTAATTCATAGGAGTAAATACTGACTTGTATGTTTGTAGTTTGTAACGGCAACATCGTGTAGTAACGTTGTAAGAAACTCCACTACATCATTTCGTTCCTTGGTTATCATTAGAGGCGCCAGAGGGAAACTAAACCAGGAGATAGGCAGCAGCATCTTAGTGATAACCGCTTAGTAAAAAAGAACTGTGTTTGTCAACCCGCTTCCTAAGCATGGCAACTATGTGAAATATCTCTTCCATGAGGGCCTATGTTGTTTTAGCGTTGACCACCTCATTATATTGAGTATAATATCAAAAATTTCTGATTGTATTAACGTAATTTACATTAAGCCGCCACTCTGCAATTATACGGAGCGTCATTACAACGCAATTGCTGTGCTCCGTGTCGGCCATTCCGTTGTCTGTAATCAGCTTACGCAAACACAATTAAACCGTTTTTAAAGTACTTTAATTATACATTTTCGGCAGCACGGTAATGATACGCTGTAGTAAATTAAAAAAAAAGAAGTGAATTAATGATAAATAAAGTATAAATTTATTACCACAGCTTGGTATTTAATTTCGAAACTAAATATTGTCAATCAGTCAACAAAGTAATAAAACCGTATCGTATATATCAGGACTGTCTGCTCGTGTAATCAGCCTTAAGGTAGAGCCTCAAGAAAAGAAAGAAAGAAAGAAAGGTTTATTCTCCAAAATGACGCCATCACAGATAACATAAAAAATAAAAATAAAAAAACACATATATTACAAATAATATTGGCTATACAATACAAATTACAATATACTACATATTACAAACTATACAATACCTATACTCGTAGTCGTATGTGTCAAGGCGTCATCTGGGAACAGGAGCACACTCAGCATAATGCCATGAATTTTTTTTTCCATGGCGCTGATTTTCAGTGTGTCCAACCAGTGACCTACCGAAATCAGTGCTATATGTTTACTCATTTTATTATGTTTTAAACAAAATTATGATGACAGAATTATGCACAACAAGGGGGAAAGAGACAGTAACTATTTTAAGTGAGAGGGAGAGAGTAGCGTTCAAGGTCTAATGCCACTTCGACACAGCACGTCCCGTTTATGTTGATTTCAGATGCTCTTAGAAGGTCTATACGAACACTACAAAAGGGGAGATTATTAAAATACTATAAAGGGCTATATACTACACTATGTAATTATTGAAGAATATAAAAGTATATAAGACAAAAGCCGCACTCAAGAGGACGATTTTAATGCTCCGTTGTTAATAATCTACTTTTGTTGTTAATAAAAGAGCTTACTCCTTTCTAAAAGGCCGGCAACGCATCGTATCCTGGTGTGCGGGTCATGGGCGGCGGTAGTCACTTACCATCAGGTGAGCCGTACGCTCGTTTGCCCGCTCTCCTATAAAAAAAAAGAAACAGACTGACCCTGCATACACAACGTATGCAATGCATTATGACATCTGGACTCTTGATTTTTTACGATTAAAAATACACTTAGGCCCGCCACACACATACGGGATCCCGTTTTGTCCGCAAAATTTCGAACGGAAAACTTCTGTAGGTGTGTTACGGGTCCTTGATTTTATATGGACTTGCTACTTTCGGAACGGAATCCCGAAACAGAGTTCTGTATGCATGCGGGTCTTATAGTATGTAACGCAATCACACGCTTCCGCAATAATGACGAACATATGTTGTTTTTCAATTAGCCCGCAAAATGCTATTGTTGGACTTGAGCCTTGAACTGTCCTATTGTAAGGAGAATTTTTCATAATGGGAATGCTTGGCAAAATTATCGGCAATTGCAGTACCAAGTCTGTCGCACCTTTGACGCTGCCTGTCGTGAACGATGAGTGTATTATACGCCTGGCGCAAACGAGAGTACCGTGAGTTGCCGTGTGGTGGCGGTGTAAGAATGTGCACAAACCATTATCATCCCGTGGGTGACGTAAGAGCCGACAGTGGGAAACAAATCAGGTGGCGGGCAGCAGCGTCAGCCTAATAACGACTAAAAACAAAAACCTGCAATTGCCTGCAATCGTGGCAACTATGTGGCAAATATCCCCCCTATGAAGCAATCTATGTGAGAAGGCCAGGTTATACCGCCATCTATTGGGAGCCTCTATTGGGAGATCTTTTCAGCATATCCCACCGTCACCTCTTACGACACCCACTTGCCGAAATGGGGTGATGTATTTCTACTACGCTGTCAACACATAGCATTTAATTATTTTCGAAATAAAAAATAATCTTAATCCATTCGGGTCGCGCCCTAAGCAGGTTGTAGTTATTGCGGCTTTTATCCATATTACTTTAATATTGCCGTGTCAGCTATCGCGTCCAATTTAGCGTTGGAAATATTAAATTTACCGTCGTCCTCTATCCGCGCATCTTAAATTACCTGGAGCGTTAGCAAATAAAAAGACAGCATTCTAATTAAATGACAATAAAAAATGTGGTCTATAAAAATTTACATTTATTTTCGTCGTTTTACTTAACGTCTTAAGTGTTATTGTAAACTAGAGCCCGTCCCTGGCTTTGCCTGGATTATATCTATTAATGTGAAGTATTTAGACTTAAGACGACAACGACTACTTTTTAATTACTAAATTGCATAAATAAATATTTTATTAATATCATATTGTATTTATATAATTTAATCTACACAAAACAAATAACATTCTAAATTCAAATAATAAATTCTAATACTAAAAACATTAAAAAATATATATTATAATAACTAAAATATATTATTAAAAAGGAGGCCCTTTAGGCAAGGCTCCGAAGATACTGGCAAAGCTGAAACCTTGCCTAAAGGGCCTCCTTTTTATAATATATTTTAGTTATTATAATATATATTTTAAGGTTTCTATTACTAATTATTATTATTTAATAATTAAATCTCCAAGACTTTCTTATTAAATATAGCCTAGATCCTGGATCTGCTTTCGATCGTAAAGTTGCACCGCAATCGATGAACCTATTCCGAAGACAAGTGCGGATAGGCAGGTAGACAATCAACAAAAAACAACAATTTTAAAAGTGGTTATTTATGTCTTAATAACATGCAAGTGACGCCGGAGTTTAATATAACCTAGTTATTCCAATATTAGAGGCCGACACTTTCAATTTATTTACATTTATAAATGCAATATTCATTTTTTAGTTTCATTTTGTTTGATTTAATTCAAAATATATGATTTCCTCAAACTAAAATATAAAGGGGATTTTGCAGGGGAAGAGTGCAGCCCATTCGCACTCCGCGCCTACGGCCTGAAAAAAACACTCTAGGGGGAGCAGACTAGATTTCTTGGAGTCGGGGCGTGCTGATTCGGTTTTAGAACAGACAGTGTTTTCCGCGATATCCCTAGAGTTTTGCGGAGAACTTAATTTATCTAATTATCCTGCGACATATACACAATGCAACCCTTATTATAATAGGGTAGTGTGTATTTTAAGCCGCCTTACACACTATCATCAGCATGTAACTATCTAACCATTCAATTACAGTCTATAAAAGTCCACTCCTGACTATAGGTCTCCCCAAAGATTGTCTTATAGAGGGGATTTTGCCATAGCTACCAAAATTGGCAGGCAGGTTGACAAACACAGTCTTGTTTTATAGTTTTAAGATACTGTTGCCCATTTACTGTTTTAGTTTACCTCTGTCGCATCAACCGTGGGACGATATGGGGTAGTGGATACTCTTACAATGCCACTAAACGGTTATGTTACTATCTGGTTAAATTAAAATGTTACACTTTTTGAGGTTAGTAATGAGTATACTTTTTTCATTAAAATTAATTCCATTCATAACCAAATCCATATTTTCGGCTGGTAACATTTTTACAAAACACATTTAAAATCTGTAAATGTCGTCATTTGATACTATCTTGACTTAGCGTTAATTAACTTAACCGTAAGTCAGTCATTTTGGGTAAATCGGGCCGTTACAATAGGTCTGACTTTTGGTCAATCAATACGTTGAATTTCATATGCTTCATTGTTCTTCGATTATTAGTCTTCGCTATTTAGTTCAACTCTGTTATTTGAATAACAGATTAAGTCAATTTGCTGGCTGATTGAACCACCGTGCTCCGACTAGATGTATATCATGAAAGTTGCCGTAGCGCATTCTGTTAGCCTTCTTCTTTCTTTCTTTCCTCTTTTTAAAAACATTTACTTCACAATAGAATTTTCTCCTGTATCGTTGAGGCGGTTTACATACATAAATTGCACACTTAAATCCAGAACAATATTTATGGGTCATTCAAACATCTTGTTCCATGTAGGCTTGGAACCCGCCACGGCCCTCTAGCTCCGCGGCTAATCGCTTGGCCAATGAGCTATAGAACCGTCTATCGTCTTTGAATTTTGCAAAATTATACCTTAAAGAAATATTTGATACGAATTATTATTCAAAACTTGTTTTTCTTCTTTTGACAAACTAGCTTCCATAAAACATCAATTTATCCGTTATTTTTCCTATTATAGGAGCCATCGAATATTACCTTTCACAAAGTAATTCGATACAAAAAAAAAAGAAAAAATCTAAAGCGAATTTCTTCTGTTTCGTATTTTTATATTTAGTCATAACGAGTCAGAGTCAGATTACCATACTAATAAGCTGCGGTAATAGTTCCATTTCCAATCCAGAGCTAGTATTTATTATAAAAATATTGCAGTTTTCTGGTTAAGTTCTGATTGTTCCATGTCTGCAACGGCTGTATTCTTCATCTTCGTTTTAATTTCTATCTTATTTTTAAACAATAGAAAATAATTTCTTCAATTAATTTATTTAAATCTTGTTGTGATCATTATAAGTCTTATTGACTGAAGACTGAAAATAATGTTCATAAATACATATTACAAGAAACCATATAATATACATTTATTATAAAATTTGTAAAAAGTAAAGACGTTATAAGTCACGGAATACATAATTGTAAATGAAAATATTGATAGTGTTTACTTGTAAGAATAAGGTAAAGAAAATTTTCGAAGGTTATCATATACACATACAATCAGCCTGATAAGCTGAGAGTTAGTTAAAGATAATAACCGATTATTGTTTATAATATTTTGAATACGATTAAGCACGGAATGAGTTCCAACTATTGTTATTGAGTGAAATGAGAATAATGTAGAGAATTTTATTCATTAGCCATTATCTAGAGCATGTATGTACGCAAGTCGTGTACGTGAAAGTAATGGTACAAATAAATAATAAATTATATGAGCTGAAATGCTATAAATGACTAGAAGTCTATGAAATGATATTTGACAATTTCTTGATCATGTATGTACGCGAGTCGTGTACGTGTAAGAAATTACACAAATATGTAATGAATGGCTAATATTCTATGGAGTAATAAGAAAAATAAATTACAGTTTACTAAATGAAAAAATTAATGAAGTTGAAAGAATAAAGAACGAAATGAAAATTATAATGAGGACGAAATATATAAGGGAAAAGTACTATGTGTTATAAATATCCGTGTATATATTATAAATGACTTGTTTTGATGTATACGAATAAATAATATTGTGAATGTTCGTGAAAGTCAATACATAATATTACGTTATACATAATTATGCCTCATTATGTCATATACTTCTATGAATACGGTATTTTTACTAGAGGGTTAGACCAAACGCCTAACTGGATTTCGCGATGTATGTTAGATTATAGTTTTTTAACACTTAGAATTCATTTTCACTTAGTTCTTATGAAGATTATTCATTGATTGCGTTTAGAATAATTTTAAGGTTTAATACATCTGTATCTGAATAGTAGGAAGTTGTTATCTGAAAGGACTAGGTACTGTAACTATTTTATATATATTAAAGTTACAGGCTATATACGTCCCACTTCCGGGCACATACCTCATTTCTGAGCGGGTTTAGGGAAAATAAGTGTCCATCGCGCTACTCCAATACGTGTTGGCAAACTTTACATGTCTTCAAAGTATTGCCTCTGCTAAACAGGGATCTCTCCCACTGTAAGGCAACGATTTTCTTTTTATATAATATATCATTATTATAAGGAGAAGTTTCCATGATCGACACGCTTGGCAGACGGACTCTGGGTAAAATATTTAGTAAGAATCAACTAAAAGAACGCTATCGTCTGAAATAATCCAACAAATTAGTAGAAATTCTTACTAAGGCAAAATATCTGATTCCGTGGAGCAGAGTCACCATATCTCCAGAATAAGATGGTCGCCGAACATTTTACTCCACCATCGTAATTTAAAAAAAAATAAGGGAGCGAGTCGTTTCAAACACCGAGATTATAACCTTTTAATAATACGACACTTGAGAAAAAAATCTTTTATTGTTTTGACTTTGCGGCGGAAGTATTATAAACGGACAGAGGGATTTTTCATTGAGGGACGGCTCTTCGTTTCGAGGTCCGCAATTACAAATCCTATTATCAATGTCTCCGTGCCCTTGTTGTCTCACCGCGCCTTTATTGTATTTTTATTTTCATTCCGCACGCACTTAATTGAGACGAGACTGTCCGTCGTTGTTTTCGTAATATTGCCTTTACGATGGCGCATTTTGAATTTAACGTCAAACAAATATTTTGACGATGTTCTAATACCAACATAATAAAACTCACGGATTTTTCGTTATTAATGTATCTTTACTAAATGACTTTCTGTAATCTTGCTTATCTTTTATTCGCTAATAATTTGTGTTTGGTCATCATTTATATTTATTATAAGCTAGGGGTCGCCCAGGAGTCAAATTTCGACCGTAATTAATTGATTTTTTAAGTAAGCTGCACTCACAACTGTACGTTAATAAAACACAGGTATCTAATACAAAATATAAAATAAACGCTTTATGCTTTGACATATATTCCACAGACAATTGAAAAAAAAAACATTTAAAATCACATAAAATTAACCGCTCATTTATTGTATAGATCAGGTATTATGTCCTGGCCCTATTTAAAAAAATTTGAACGACAAGTTTTACTCTGTGCTACTATTTGACCACAGTATATTCACTGTTTCACATTAATCTTATAGTAATACAGTACCTGGATGACCGAGCTTTGCTCGGTATTTTTCTTTTGGAAATCGTGTGTTTTGGAAATTATATTTAGATACAAATTACACGCTGTTATTTAAATTATATTATTATCATATAAATGTTATTTTAAAATTAAGGTACCTACTTGCGTATACAATTCTTTTCAAATGTTTTCCTATTAATAAAAAGTTTCCAATAAAACATTATAACGATATACCGTCATTAGCGTGTTTCCGCTATTGGTACTGTGCTAGTTGATGGTATGGGCTCGATGATCGCCATTTCTAATCCCATTCTTTATCCGTACGGACCGTATCTATGGTATTTTACAAGGCATTTCATCATATTCCTCAGGAGTGGCATCTCTATTTCAATTTCAATCGGGGATACATGTACATCAAATGTACTGTGACTCATCTATCACTCTTACTTGTATCCAATAGCTTAGCTTGGTTTAACAAGAGCATTTTTATGTAGTTGTTAAGTTTTTTTTTTACTATTTACCAACCACTAAAAAACTTAACGGGCATTTTTCTTTTTGAAAAGCCATATTCGATTTTCGTTTTTTAAGAACACGTTACAGACTAGGATTTTTTCCTGTATAACGTTCCGCTTTGCTCCCCGGCATTTATTAACTTAGTCTTCTCATTAACAACGTATGTTTTGTATCTGATAATAACTCACAAAACTTTTCCTACAGAACCCGGATCAGCGCCAAGGAATGTTCAAGTTCGTCCGCTCAGCTCCAGCACTATGGTCATACAGTGGGAGGAGCCGGAGACACCTAACGGTCAAGTGACGGTGAGTATAAATTAGGTATTTTTTTATAAAACAATCACGCTTATAATGCATCTGATGCCTGCCTCTTTTAACCAACTTCAAACCAAGAAGGTCACAGTTGATTTAATTCCTCCTTTGTTTCTATCTCCACACTTGGACAACCAAACGCTCAGCCGGTCTTTATTGTAGACATTCCATGCATTCGAACTAAATTCAAATCAAATACTAAAAAGGTGGTATTAGTTTAGTCGCAATGCGTACAGCAATGGAGTGGAATAATTTTTCAGTGTCTGCCTTTTCATTCGATTGCAATGTATGCTCCAAGCTGGAGTGAATAGTTTTGTTACGCTAAGATGCAATTTTACTATTTGGAGCTTCATTACATTTACTTGATTTACATTTTCATTACATCATTACCCCATCGATTGTAATCAAACAATGACTTGTAATAATTAAACGAAAAGATTCATGATATTATTTTCGGTTTAAAGATCTTTATTTCTCAATAAGACAAAGGTCACTTACATGAGAACAATAACTATATGAACTTAGTAATAACAATTTTTAGTGCGGGTATAAATAACTTTGTTGGATGTCGCTTTTAAAAAGCGAATATCTTTGCTGTTAATTCAAACTATAAGGTGGTGGTCCAAGTTTAATAATGTTTTTATTTTTATTTAATAATGATTAAGGTTAGGTATTTAGCTGTTGTGAATATAGGTAGGCAAGTAACTTCTGTTTGAAAACATTCAAAGATTTCGCCTCCTTTACAAATTTAGGTAGTTTGTTGTATAACTGTTCTCCTTTATACGTTATATTATTTTTACCATAGTTTGTTCTTATAGGCGGCAATACAAGGTGACTAGCTCGGCGTGTTATGTATTTGTTTGTTTGCTTCTTTGTTAAAAACGTGAGTTGTGTGTGGATTAATTTATGTTTTATTTTATATATTAGTATGCATGTGCTATATGTATAAAGTTGAGTAACGTTAAACAGTTTAGTTTCCTTATATATTGTATTAGTTGGTGTTAAATAGTCATAGTTAAACAAAATTTTTATGATACGGTTTTGTAGCACTTGGAGAGGTTTAAGATTGGTTTTGGCTGCATTACCCCATACCTCTACATGGTAAAGTAAGTGAGGTTTTAGTAGAGAGTTATATATTAGGATTCGGGCTTTTTTCGGAATACATCGAACTATTTTGTGAAGGTGGCCAACGAGAGACGAAAGTTTGTTTTTAATATGCGTGAGATGTGCATTCCAAGTCAAATTACTGTCGAGAATCAGTCCAAGGTATTTTTCTTGATTTTTTATTTGTAACGTTTCTCAGTTTATAGTCAAAGTAAGGTGGTTTTGATTAGGGAGTTTCTTGTTCTTGGCGCTGAAAATTATATATGAGGTCTTGGCTACATTAATAGTTAGGAGATTATACTGAAACCATTGATGGAGTAAGTTTAAGTCTTCTTGAGCTAGTGTTATGATACGAGATATATTGTTTCCAAAGTAGACACGTATCATCTGCGTAAAGGGATATTTGACCTTGTAAACCTGCTTGGTTTATGTTGTTGATGTACACTAGGAATAGCAATGGACCGAGGATAGAACCCTGAGGCACGCCACACGTTAAGAGTTTGGGTTTACTTTGAATGGATCCAATTTTCACTACTTGGTAACGGTTGCTCAAGTATGATGCCATCATTTTGTATACTTTTCCAGTGACGCCAATATATTGTAATTTTTTTATGAGCAAATTATGGCTAACTGTGTCGAAAGCCTTTTTTAGGTCCACAAATATTCCCAATGCTACTTGTTTTTGATCAATTTTTGTTTTTATTATAGTTATCAGGTCAATTGTTGCTCCCAGGGTACTAGATTTTGATCGGAAACCATACTGTTTGTCATACATAAAGTTGATTTCAGTTAAATAGTCGTCTAATCTCTTGTATACAATTTTCTCTAAAATTTTGGATAGTGTAGGTAGAACTGATATTGGACGGTAATTTTCCGGACTAGATTTCGTACCAGACTTATAAATTGGAGTGATTTTGCCTATTTTGAGGTTGTCCGGAAAAAATCCTTCAGTTAACAATCGATTTAGGAAATTAGTTATATTTTGGACTACTAAACTTTTGATACATTTGATAGCCTTGATACTAACTCCGTCTAGACCTACACTTGTATTGGAATCCAGATCATCAATTATTTTTGTTATTTCATTGACGGTGCATGGATCTAATTGAGAGTGTACGGTGCGACATGCCAGGATCAAGGCTCGGTACTGTGTGTGTGGTGTTGTTATGGAACTCACGCGGTATTTTATTTGCCAGTTGTGTTCCTATGTTAGCAAAAAAATTATTGAATTTTTCACATATTTCTAGGGCATCCGAAATTATTATACCATTTTCGGCTTTTAGGTTTGGTGGAGCACAGTGATTAACATTTTTATTATTTGACAGTGTTTTTATGAGATTCCACATTTTTTTAGGTTTATTTCTACATTTTGTGAATTCACCGTAAAAGTAATTTTCTTTTGTGTTCTTGATTTTTGTGCCAGAGAATCTCTTTTAGTTTTGAACTCTTTTTCTAACTGCTCATTTTTTGGATCACGTTTTAATTTACTCCATAGCACATTTCTCTCATTAATTTCTGCTATTAAATGCCTGTTAATCCACTCTTTTTGGGGTTGATTTAGTATTTTAATTTTTTTTGTTTTAGTTTCACTAATGAGCTTTTTAATGTATTGATCAAATTCCTTACAATCGTGTGTATTAATTTTAAAAGTTGATGTTTTAACCATCTCGTATAATTTCTTGAAGTCTATAGACTCGTATTGTATTCTTTGTTTCTTTGGGTTGATGATATTATTTTACACGTGGTAGAACCATGCTGCAGCTATATTATGTCTGTAGCACGAATGGGTTGACTCGACCGTGATACGACCACGCTCTCACAAAATGCCTGCGTAAAATAATAGCTCAATGCTTGTGTTTCGTATGGTGAGTATAGAGAACCGAAAACCATTTTTACTGGAAGCGGGGCATTATTTATTCTTAATCGGAGATGGATGTAGATGTCTATGAACCACAGCATCCACTTACCATCAGTTAGACTGTGTGCTCGTTTGTCACCCCTATTCTATAAAGAAAAAATAGGGTGTAAAAACCTCAGGACTACAATGAAATGTTTTACTATCTGTAATGATAGGTTTGTAAAGTAGTTTGAAAGGTTAGAGAGTAAACACTTCTGCTTGCTAACAAGAATAATTAAGAGGGTGGTGCCAACCCAAACAGACTCATAAGCAGAAAAGCCACTGCCTCATAATTTTTAAGGCAGTTTGAAGGCAGAACTCTAGTCTTATATTATATACTCAATGCCAAGTTTAGTTGACTCGTGATGTAGGCAGTACTGAAATTGTTTATTGCATTTTTAAGTGTGGACTAAGCACTCGCCATAAATGTAACCAGTTTGCCAGCAACTAAGCCAGTTTTAGGTCTTACTTTTTTTGTTAATTGCAGTTTTAATTGCTTATTTACCACTGGCTGGGCGGTGAAGGAAAACATCGTAAAGGAACGAGGAGTTTCTCAATTCGACTGTAGTTTTTGTGTGTTGCTCAGAACTTTTTTCTACGTTAACCAATTTTGATGATTTTATTGGAAAGCTAGTTCTTCTCATGTTGTCTCATGTAAATTTGTTAGAGATCTGTCCAGTTGTTTTTGAATTATCCGTAATAACACGTATTTAATTGACTTATACACTACATTGATGATGTTCTCATTTTATTTATACTGAAATCAGTTGTACACAATTTTTACTCTTACCACTTGTTTTACTGCGATTCATATTTTCTTTTTTAGATGAAAACTTCTTTTAAGTCGTTGTGTTATTTGAAACTCGATGAAACGAAAAAGCCTCACTAAAAAGAGACAAAATGTACATCTATAGAATTCAGTCTGCGGGGGAATGGGATGGAATATATATATATATATATATTTTTGTGGATGAGTGGTGTATGAATGAGTTAGACTTGAAGACTGTGTGGGATAACGTTAAGACGTATATGTGTATATATGTATATACACTATACGTCTGCGGGGGAATGGGATGGAATATATTTATATATATATATATATATATATATATATATATATATATATATATAATAGTATACAGTGTCTACGATCACATCTACGATTCATATCCATAATGTACCAAATTATATTAAATTAGTCCTGTTTGGACCATCTAGTGTCTATTTTATGTATCACCTTGAGAGTATAATTTAATCAATTTTAGTTTAATTGATAGAATCAAGCGTTACTTTGCGGAAATCCATTATAATAAAAAATAAAAATATAAATTTCTTTGCAACCTTCCGCTAAATAAATACAAAAATGTGTCTTTCCTGGGTTGAAGAGCACCTCCCCGCCCTCCCTCAATTGCATGCACTAACTCCGTCACCACTAGTCCCAGCACCACTACTCCCAACACCACTATTCCAGGTAAGACACACCAGCGACGATAATACTACACAAGTTTCGCCTCTACACGAGGCATCTTCTGGTAATGTAGACTCTACGGCGGCTGACCGCTAAGGAAGGGCGGGAGGTGCTCTTCAACCCAGGTAAGACACATCATTGTATTTATTTAGCCGAAGGTTGCAAAGAAATTTATATTTTTATTTTTTATTACAATTTTAGTTTGGTAAAATGACTTTACCTAAAGCAGCATATGGTGCTTTTTGTGTGGTGTTTTAAAGATGGTTAATAATTTTCAACTGTTAAAATAAGACAGTTAAAAAATAACAAATTTATTGAATAAATAAAATTAACCATATTGAATAAAAAAATTCTAACAATCTACGATTCATATCCATAATGTACCAATTTATATTAAATTAGTCCTGTTTGGGTCATCTAGTGTCTATTTCATACCTTGAGAGTATAATTTAATCAATTTTGGTTCGGTAAAATGACTTTACCTAAAGAAGCTATGGTGCTAAATATTACAAAACAATTTTATTAACAATTTTTGTAAGAATTGACTTCTACCGCATATGAACTGCTCACATGACTTTTTTTTATATTGATTGTTACACAATTCATTAGTCACTTGTATTGCTCTGGCGCTTTGAGCTGGGGATACAAAAACTAGTGTACACTTTTTGGTTTTCCCCTTGCTGCTATCGCTCAACTCGATTTGCAATGGAGAGGTAGAAACTTTTTCAAACAAACAGTGTAAACAAAATAAAAAATTGGAAAAATCAATTTGATTTTTAAAAAAACAGTAGACTCATTTTGCATATTATGGCTGCGGCATGAATAGATCGGCAGAATCGCAAAAAAAAAAAACATGCTCGCATAAAACTTCTGTATAAACTAGATATGGTGCTGTGTTTCGTGTAGCGAGTGACGTGAACTGTGGACCACTTTAACTGGTTACAAAGCAACTCCATCTATGTCTTCGCGATTTTGCGATTTTGATTTTAGTTAATGCTAGATCGTAATGTAGAGTTGTCGACAACTCTCTTACCTTCCATTTTTTTTTTTGTATATAAATCCTTTCCGTGAAATTTATGGTGAAATGTAAGTTCTCGCAAAGCAAGACAATTTGGTAATATTTCAGGGTATTTCCTTCGCTGGACCACTAAGAGGGATTCATTACTACGAGAAGCCTATCTACGCTTTCTTTAGCTTTACTTTGAAGTGAAAACGAAAGATTTTCGGTAACTTAATTTTATTTCCATTGTCTGATAATATAAACAGCACAAGGCTTTTAACGAACATACATCCAGTAACCCCACAATATCGATATATATCGATATTATTATTGATAAAACCAAACTTTTTAACGATATTAAAATATCTAAAAACGCCCATTATTGATTATTGCACTCATAGAAATAAAAATATACAAATGCTTCTTTTTCTATGTTAAATAAATACAAGTTGTTGGCAGTTTTTGAAAAAGAGGAAAATGAAGCTTTATGTAATTTTTAAAAAGAATACGAAAAGTACAATTTACGTTATAAATACTCATTTTAACTCGTCTAACATGGAACACCAGTACTTAAAGTCCTTCAGTAGCTCTTCTATTAAGTCCTCCATGGTGGCACTAATCCGGAGGCGTGGAGCAGAAGTGCGGTGGTCTTGTTCTTCAAGAAAGGCGACAACGCTCTCTTAAAGAACTACAGACCGATTTCCCTTCTGAGCCGCGTCTACGTGCTGTTTTCGAGAGTCATTACGTATCCAGCCTCCCGAACAACCCGTTTTCCGAGTTCCAGTACCATAGACCACGTACATACCTTGCGGCAGATTGTACAGAAGACCGACGAGACATTACAACCTTGCCATGCCACAAATTACAGTCTTTAGCCAACTGTATCCATCGCCTTCCTGCATGTCTTACCAGGTCGTCACTCCATCTAGTGCTCCAACTACGCCTACCGGTACGAGGCTGCCACTCGAGAACCTTTTTCACAATCGGTTGTCGATTCTTCGAGCTATATGGCCGATCTATTGCCACTTCAGATTACTAATCCACTGGGGTATGTCGGTCACTTTGGTTTTACTACCACGATCATAGCCCTCTCCATATTAGCGACCTTGTGCGTCCTCATTCAGCCAGCAGCAGTAAAGGAAGGCATTAGGTTGCATATCTAATCGATAAAATTAAAAATAATTTTTTATTATTTTCATCATCGTTTCCAAAAGAAGGAAAAAATTAAAAATATTTTACTATCAGATTCGATTACATTCATTTAGAATGATGTGAATTTGATAAAATAATTAATTGTGGCTAGGTTCCTTCGTTATATTTGTATTTTTTTTTTTGCCTATCAATTATAATATGTTTGAGTGCTTTTATTTTTGATAATAAATTCTGCGCTTGAGTTGCCAATTGATACCGGAATCTACTTTAGTCTACTTCTCAAGTCTAAGGTTAATTCATAATCAACATTTATCTAGGTAACAAGACAAATAAATTATTTCGAAGTTTGGTGTTGTTTTGCGATCGTTTCCATATCGCATCTCATATCTCCGATCTTATTACATATGCTCTGTGGCACATAGACACCTATATATCTTTACTAGATTAAAAATTAAAATGCATGTGGATAGTCTTACCTGAAGATCAAAGATCGAATGCCTCGTTACCAGTAAACAGGGTCTCGAGTTCTCGTCACTCAATATACGAAACATGGTAGCGTTATTTATCTATTTTACCCTGATCCTAGTCAGTATGGTATAATCTGTGCTGCCTTTAAAGAAATAATTTTATACTTTTTGGCCGTTCTAAGACGTCGCATGTTAAAAAAAATATATCTTTCACTTTCTAGTCTGTCATCCAGCTTTGTTAAGAAATTTTGAGTGCTTACCTCATCGGGCAGTTAGCTTAAAACCGATTGCAAAATTTATATCGAACAGACAAACAAATAAGCTGACATACAAGAGAGTTAGTATTATTAATATTGTATTGTCGTCCATTTAATCAAAATATCAAGTATCTTTCTCATGGACAAGTTAATTAGAATTCGATTGCAAAATTTACATAAAAAATACATAGACAGACAAAATAGCGAGGTATTAAAAATGTGTTCAAAACGCTGAGGCTGAAAAAATTGTATTTATTGCAGGGCTATAAGATATATTATACCACGGATCCTTCACAACCTCTGCAGTCATGGAACTCCCAGATGGTAAGCGAACTAAATATTTTATAGATGTTTACTATACATTTAATAATTTATTTTTACAAAAATATTTACTTCATTATTTTTCATTTATTCATTATAGCCAATCAAAAGTTCCATAACATTGGAACTTTTTCAAAAGTTCCAATGTTATACCTTCCTAGATTGACTCTTTTGGCCACCTTCATAGATTGACTCTTATGTATAAACTCAATATTTCCCACAGTTGGACAACAGCCACTTGACGACGATAAACGAACTGACGCCGCACACAGTGTACACGATACGCGTCCAAGCATTCACGTCGGTCGGGCCCGGTCCAGTGTCGGCACCCGTGCAAGTGAAAACCCAGCAAGGTCAGTAATATATCTTTCTCAGCCCTTTGTTCGTGATATCTTATGGGAATATAAGAAATCCGAATTCGATTTCCGCCGACCACAATGAAACTAGTAATTACAATTTAATAGTTTGCTACATCAAAGGCTGTGAGGCATTCTATCTATAAGACCTTAGTGGTGACAACGCATAAGTAATCTACTTTGTTAAAAGTTGTTTGTGGACTGCATTTGCCAATTACGATGGGGATCTGTAAGTTCATTTGTCACTGATGATGATGTCACATGTTTATAAAGGAACAATTTATTATTGATTAAACGCAACCTCTCACGTCTAAGTGTAAGGCCCAAAGGACATTATATGGGTCCTACAGCGTAGCAGCGTGTGAACTTCAAGCGATCAGCACTCCAAAACTGAAAATTTCAATAATTGTAAAGTCTGTCAATTATGACTGCAGCAGTTGAGCGACGGTCTTTTCAGCGAGGAGGTTTTCAATCAGTTTCTATTTTTCATGTGAGTACGTATGTTCGGATGTATCTTCTTTATTTATGAACGGACTCTAGTAATATATCCATCATTAAATTGGTTATACTTCAGAGATTGTCCCATATATATGTAATTAATTAAAGAAAAATTTCATTCTCATCCTAAGGATGGAAAAATAGGGGTTAAGTTTTTGGTGTAACTATTTGGACGCAATTTTCTTGCTTAAGTACTACGTCAATAAATTAACCAATTTCTTAATTTCGCATCTCTACTTTAATTTGCTAGATATTACCGAATATGGAAAGTTGTGCCACTAATGCTATTATATTTGCTAGAATGGTATCAACTTTCCTTTCGACTATACAAAAAGCCGGCGTTTTGAAAATAGATCAACAGGCTATTAGGCTAATAATGTTACTGATTGTCTCTTTGGCAGAAAAGCCTTAATATACTATAATTACACTATAACTATACAATAACTACACCAAGAGCGTTTTGGTAAACAGTAAATGTTAATCAGAAGTACCACGTTGTCTCCGCGAAACAGGTGTACCATCACAACCTTCAAACTTGGTTGCGGTAGAAGCGGGCGAAACATCAGTGACTCTGCAATGGAAGCAACCAGCCCATGCTGGAGATCATATCGTCTCTTACGAGCTCTACTGGAACGATACTTACGCCAAGGAACATCACAGAAAGTAAGAAAAAAATGATTTACTGAACATTATATACTAAGAATTTCGTTATTAAAAGGGAAACTATCGCATATTGTTCACACCTGTGACCCCCGATATAGACAGAGTCCAGCCAAAAAAAAATAATAGGAATACATAGAAAATTAAAAAAAAATTAAAATATTGAAGATAGGAGGCTATTCCATTGCCTACAAAATTGTACTACACAAGTAATTCTGTTGGCACATTTTCAGCTTTTAGTTTCCCAAAAGAGAACGCATTTATTGCGTATTCTATGAAATTTATTTAAAAATATGTGTTTATCTCAATAATATTTGTATGGTTGTAACTTTCGACTTTTAATAATTTAAAGCGTTATGAAAAAAAACATAAAAATTTCATTTGCCTGTATTATGTACATTACCATCAAAAGGATATTGTGAATATCATTTGCTAGTTGATTACTTCTTCAAACTAAATGTTCCTACACACTACAGACGGATACAAAACACGGAAACCTACACACTGAACGGACTGTACCCTAACACCCTGTATTACATCTGGCTAGCGGCACGGTCACAGCGCGGCGAAGGAGCCACCACGCCACCTATCGCCGTACGAACGAAACAATATGGTATGTTATTGCAAAAGGACAGTGAGTTAAGACATCGAACGGAAAAATAGTTATTTGGCTTGGAAGGACTTCGGCTATCATAGTTACATTATTGTATAGGTGTACCAGAAATCAATTTTACGGTAAACGGATCTGTACGGACTATGAACTGGAAGAGAGAGAGAAGATTTTTTTTAAATATAATAAATGATGAAATATTATTAAATTCTCATTCCCTTTTCATTTAGAAACACTTAAAGCATAATATCGTGAAATCGGCCCCGGATTCCTTCCAAGCCAATAATAAAAACAATGTAAGAAAGTAAAGTATATGAACCTGTTGTGGGTTTTCCAGGTAATTTCTACTGTAATATTTCACATAAACGCACCTGCCCGGCACGCTGCCAGTAATACAAGCACAAGCACCAAGTTTTATATCACAATAATATGTGTTTTGTAATTGTCAACTTGTCGAAACGGTATTATGTACACGCTTTATAACTCGTACATCGTACATTAAAAAAAAACGAATCGAAAATTACCCGCCAATTTCTGGTTCACTTCAGCTGAAATAAATCCAAACAGACACTTATTAATGAATACAATGCGTGTGCACAATACCTTAGTAGTAGCTTTATGTTGTTCGTATGTCTTAAATTTTTATCGATGAAGTTATTTCTATATGAATTTTTCTTTTCATTTTTATAACTGCTAGCGACAATATGAACACTAGATCAATTTCATTAGTTTTAATAATTGCTTGAAAAGTGAATTAGTTGCAAAAGGTAACATGTACTAACGGTGTTCCTCGTGTCGCTAATCTAGATAATAAATAATCACAATTTTCTTCCGGCAGGAGAAAGTGTGAGAAAATCTTAGAGATGTATGGGCGAGCGGATCCTACATTTACATCACACGATACTATAAACAATTATGTGCATGCACTTTTTGATTTGACGATTTACGTCGTTCTCTTTTTTCGTTATGGGCACATTTTTTTTTAATCGCATTCAGTGATTGCATCAATCAGGTCGTAACGCAATATAAAGCGTTTCTTGGCGAATGATCCAACCCAAAACTCTCTGTGAACCGCTGTTCGATCAAGTCAAAACGTTGAAATTTATCAACCACTGATATAACTTGATGAACCACAGTAATAACTTTCTGTTTAATGTGATCCATTTCTTCTAAATCCTTGAGGCTTTTAGGTTGAATTAGTTAATAGAAAAAACCTGTTTAAAGTTTTGTTATCATTTTAATAAGTTAGTGAATCGTTAAAACTTTTTTGATAGTGACCTTTCTGTTTCGTATTTCCCCGGGGATCTTAGGATTTACTTATGCAAATGATTCACTATGACAGTGTTGTTATATTTTTTAATTCTGACTTATTGTGTTTAAATTAAGTTTAGCTTTAGTTAGCCGACGTTCGTCGAGCAAACCGACGAAAGAGTGCGGTCTTTATCCCAAACCTTTAGGGTCGTCGTTCACGATTTTGGGGGGAAATGAGCGAGACGGTTGTTTGAGAGCTTGTTTTTTACGAGTGAGCCTTGTTCAGTTCCTGGCGCACCGCCGATGAATGTGACGGCGGTGGCGATATCGCCGACCGCGATCCGGGTGTCGTGGCAGCCGCCACCCGCCGAAAGGGCGAACGGTCGCATCGCGTACTACAAGCTGCTTTGTGTGGAATCGGGACGAGGCGACTCTGAGGCGACGGTCGTGAGACTCAACCAGACCTCGTTCGTACTGGACGAGCTCCGCCGCTGGACGGAATACCGCGTGTGGGTTCTTGCCGGCACCAGCGTGGGCGACGGGCCCGCCTCCTACCCGGTCACCGTCCGCACGCATGAGGACGGTACGTGTCGCATTCATTTCCCTAACATTATTTGTTGCAGGCTTCATTTTATGACTCTGTTAAAACTAACTACGATCTTCTTAGATTGTAAAATTTAAATCGTGCAACAACATTTTTAATATTATTTTCTTTATAACCGACTTCGGATACAATTGCGAAAAAAAAGGAATTAATATTGGCATTGGATCAGGTTGAAATTTGTATTGGTCTACTGCGAAAGTGTATAAATTTTGATTTTAAAAATGAAAATCAGAAAACTCTAATTTCGGATTTATTATATAACTTACACAAAAATGCAGTTAAATTAAGAACTAAATTTGTAAGTTGATTGTAAAAGATTCTTAAGAAGCATATTTCTCTATCGAGAATATTGTATGAACTATAAACTACACCGCAACTGATATAATAATAACAGTTTTAAAAAAGGTTTACCGACTTCTTAATAGACGAATTCAAAAAACTTTGATTAATTTTTTCTAATAATAATAACTCGCCAAAGACAGTCATAAAGTTGAGCCTATTAACAACTTAATAAACACCATCTAATAATCAACACCTTACTTCAACATTGTTATTTTAACAAAAATCTTTCACGGTGCAATATCAGAGGATAAAGCTTTAATAACAAATTTAATAATATAGATTAATATAACTGTTGTAAATTAATTATCCTCCGATGTTGCATTACAGTTTTTGATACATATTATATATAATCTTTAATATTATAAATTACGAAACAGCTGCGGGATTGGGTATGATGTTTCCATTAAAATCATTCATGTATCATAATGGTTCACAATTAATTTCCGTAAAATTTCTAAGTCCGGTATGGATGATTTTATAATAATATAAACGCAGTTCGAATGGAATTTCTTTGTGGACATCATTATAAAAATACTTTGTTATTTGATAAAGGAGGTCATTATCCCGAAATTCTCCAGCATTTTTCCATACGGACTTCGTTTGTAGCATAATTGAATTCAAAATGAAATATCTGTTAAAATGGTGTTGGGTTTATGTATGAACATAATTAATATCATTTTGTAGTTCTGACCTTTGACGCTACAAATAATACCAAAGATACTAATGTCATTTTTTTCTTTTTGTTTCTTTCTCGTGAGCATATAGCAGGATACTAAACAAGGAGGTTAATTCTCGTAACAAAGTTTTAAATATGCTTGCTGATGAATCTATGTATATATTATTTGTAAATCATCACGCAATTCATTTGATTTCACTGTATTTTCGTCGCTGTATTCAGCGGCATAGTGTCGATATTTCCACTCACTGTCACATGTAATGATTTCTTATGATAACGCGTCTCATCGATCAGTTATTTGTCAAACAGCTAAAGATGGCACTCACTGAAATGCAAAAAGTTTATACTGCACCTGGTTAGTGTCGACGGCACCGTTTATTGGTTTTGACGCACAATTATTGAGTATTTAGCAATGGACACAATTTGCATGCTTTCTTTGATGACACAGCACTATTTTTCGTTCGGTTAATTTCACTGGGCACTTGATAGGTCTACCATTATTTGCCATACGCAATTGGTGTTGGCCATATACAATTGCGCATGGCAAATATGCACTTTTAGGAAGCACTCAGCACTACTAGCGACGACACGAGGTGAGAGAGCGAGTGCGTAACACAACAAGCATATATCCGTTCGGCAGGCTCACTCACATGAACCATTATTTTGTGATATAAAGAAGTGAGTGTGTCGCCTTGTCGACTCATTGCACTAGTCGCTTAAGCGGCTTTTGTATGTAAAATTCATTGTAACAAAATGGCTGCGTTTGGCAGAAAAAAGCGCTAGGAAGCGCTTGTAAGCAAAATGGCGATCGTAAGCGGTAAGCGCTGTCAAATCGTAAGTAGCTATTTTCCTCTAGGACACGAAGTTAGCTTTAACCGGGGAACCTAACCTAATTTAAATATATGTTTGTAAAGTATTCATATTAAAAACTTACCAGTCATGAATTTTTAATAACATGTATAATATGTTTATTCATGTCATTATATTACTTGAAACTAATATTGCACAAAACAACTTATAAACTCTACTTCAAAACAAAAAAAAATAAGCAAAATGGCGAATTGTGTCAGCGCTACTGAAATTAGCAAGCGTGTCCTGGCCGAAAACTGTTTAGTTTCGCCATTTTGCTTACAAGTGCTTCCTAGCGCATTTTTCTGCCAAACGCAGCCAATAACTTGTAAGTGGCTCATGTGCTTGAGCCATGTCGCACGGTTACGCACAACGGCCCGAGCGCCGCATTTGAATACCAATACCGTCTTCACTCAACACGCGCGCATGCTATACCTACTACTCACAACTACTACTTCCGTACTGACTGTACTATCTGACTACTTTTACTCTTAGCGGGAAGGCTGCGGGTCGAAGCAACAGAGTCCCGAGGATCCGGTCTAAATTTGAAACACAAAGCAATTGGTCCGTTAAGGATCCGACGGATTAGATCCGTGACGCTCTTCGCCTGTATTCCCCGACTGCTCGGCTCGGACTAGATTACGCGCTACTTCTCTATCTTTATCTCTATCACTCTATCTCTCTCCATCGCTCTTAAGCTACACTTTCTCGCCAGTAGCAACTTCTCTTGCCTTTCTTTCTTCTTCTGTATTATCTATAAAACTTTCATCGTGCATGCACACTAGATATTGTAACATAATATACAAAAAAAACTATTGTGCCTAACATGCTAATGCATTATACTAAAACGGTATTAGAGAAACGCAAAGGGAAAATTCGGCAACTGCAAATAGTAAAATACATTTGGCCATAAATTAAACAGTTTTAGAAGAGCACAGCCAACGGACAATGACACCTTGACACTGTCACATCTCACAGAAGATAACAACACAGGAGAGCGAAGCACCACACACACCGGCGCAAAGATGTGCGCCCACTGACAACAAGACTACACTGGTGAAGCACACACACATAGATCGGCGCCGTCGCGTTAATCAATACATGTGCGTGTGAGTGACTACAGCGCCAAAGGGCAAAGAACGGTCGCCTTAATGTGTTAGGCCTTTTCCTGCTCGTTACCGCAGAATTCCTGAAATCCTTGCCTCTGAAAACAGCTTCACAAACTTTCGGAATTGAAACGTAGCGTTCTACAGAAATGTTTTATCCTAAGAAAATAAATTTATGAAATTCTTGGAGAATCGTGCGAACAGGAAAGGCAATGCACTACTTAAGAGCGACGGCGACGTTCCAAGCCGCTTAAGCGGGAAGCGCCTCCTAAAGAGCTCAAAATACATAAGGAAAAAATAAGAGTGTCCCCATCTTGCCGATAAGCGTTCTACTCGTGTTCTCTCACTTAGTAGTTCCGTTCGCCCTGCAATGTACGCACAATTTGTCTTAAATGTATTTGAATGCGTTTTTCTCTTTTTTTTTCTCTCGTCACTGACTTTGTATGGGCCGCTGGTAACCCGTACAGCCGTAAGGAGTGAGTATAAATTACTATAGTGCTTGTATCGATGTGCGTTTGTGCTTGTGCCTATGCTTTATGTAGTTTTATCTTCCCGGCAAAAATTACAACAATTTAAATAAAACAAACTGCAAGTGGTTATTGTTTAAAGACGCATTGTCTTTACCGTTTATCTATGGTTCGGAATTGACTTGGCGTGTTTTAGAACTAATTTGCCATTTTTTTTTCAGCCAAGTCTATTACTCGAAGCATGAATCCCTTGCAGGCTGTAAATAAATATGTTAGAGATAGAATTGCCGCTTAAAATAATCCTATAGATGAACTTACTAAATGTTTATTCTTTGTAAACGCTTAACGATTTTAGTTGAACTTAACAATATGGATTAAGAGGTAATATATTTTTATTGTTTTGATGATGTGAAAGGGCGTAAATATATCAGTGTGTGTTGGTATTCAAATGCCCGATCGAGATGCTGAATAGCGTGTTTACACACACGCCAAGGACCCAAATACTCTATCAGCATTGCCGACGGCGATTACCGACTGCACTTGCTTTCCAAAGAGCTTGATGACGACCAACGCTTGACCCCTAAATTCAAATTGCTTTCGTTAGACTTTTTTTCTAGCACGTTTCGTAGATGCTGATAGGGAGTTTAGGTCGAAAGTACCCCTGGTTCGGCTCAGAGATTAATTTGAGATTGGTGCGTTTGCAGTGCCTGGTGAGCCTCAAGACGTTAAGGTTACAGCCATCAATTCTACGACGTTACATGTCACATGGAAGCCTCCGCAAGAAAAAGAAAAGAATGGTATTATAAGAGGTTATCACGTCCACGTGCAAGAAATGCGTGAAGAGGTGAGACTATAGATGTTTTATATAATAAGAGAAAATTTAATACATAACAATATTTTTACTTTTTCGCCAACCGCAAACGTATATCTTATTAACACCTTATACTATATATAAATATTAGTTAAGAATATAGTTACAACAATTGCATTTATTACTTTTTGTAATTTAAGACTCAGTGTAAAAAAGATCTTTTGAAACCTAAACTACTGAGGAGTAATTCAGTAATCTTAGTCGTACAGAACTTATATATACAAATTTTTCACAGGGCAAAGGATTACTAAACGATCCTATGCGTTTTAACGTAATGGATGACACGAAGCTGGAACTCAATGTGTCAGGCTTGCAACCAGATACACGGTACAGCGTACAAGTAGCCGCGCTGACTCGCAAGGGTGACGGTGACCGAAGTCCTCCCGTGACAATAAAAACCCCTGGTGGTGTGCCAAATAGACCTACTGTTAACCTCAAGTGAGTATTAGCAATAGATGCACCAGGATTGATGTAAATTATGTTTCAAATAGTGTTTATATTTCAGAAGTGAATTAACTAGAAGTGAATTAATTTGTGAAAATACAATATATTAAAGATGTGAAAGCTTATTTTTAAATGAATTAAATTAGTATTCTATTATCTTTCATATTAGGTTCTTACCTATTTACACATATTTCATTATGTTTTTTTAAGCTTTTATTCTCAAAATTTTACGTCACGATAATGTAGTGTGATACCGAGTTACACCTAGTATCAAACATTTCATTTTCGTATCCTTATTTTATATATGTTTCTATTGCTTCATTTATTTATAATTCTCACATTTATTTATTTTTTAGAGTACTGGAGCGAGACCCGATAGTTTCAATAGAATTAGAATGGGCCAAACCGACGCAAACCTACGGCGATTTGCTTGGCTATCGATTAAGATATGGTATAAAAGGCCATCCACTACAAGAAGAAAATTTTGCCGGGACTAAAGTTACATCATATAGAGTTACAGATATGGAAAGAGGTGTCCAGTATGAATTTAGACTTGCAGGGAGAAACCATATCGGCGTGGGTCAGGAAAATGTTAAATATTGGCTCACACCAGAAGGAGCACCAAAGGGGCCACCAACGAATGTTACATATCACTTTCAAACTCCTGATATTATCAGTATTACATGGGAACCTCCAGTCAGAGCTGATCGAAGCGGGCAGATAAAAAAATATGATATACAATTTTATAAAAGAGGCGACCAGTCATCACTTGTAGAAAAAACAACGGAACTAACTAAAGCCGTTTTCACTGGCTTAGAAGAGGATGCGCATTACGTTTTCAAAGTTAGAGCTTACACGGATCAAGGAGCAGGACCGTACAGTAAAGACGTAACAGCCCACACTGAAAGGGATATTGGAAGAGCGCCTATGGCTGTAAAAGCTGTTGCAACATCGGAATCGGGTATTGAAGTCTGGTGGGATCCTGTTCCCTCAAGAAGAAAAATAATTGGATACGTTATTTTCTACACTATGACGCCAGTGGAAGATTTAGACGAATGGCATCAAAAAACAGTTCATGTAACACATTCTGCAGATATAGGAAATTTGGAAAAGTTTGCTGAATATGCAGTTGCAGTAGCCGCGAAAACGGCCGATGGTTTAGGAAGATTATCGGAAAAAGTTACAGTTAAAGTGAGGCCAGAAGAAGTACCTTTGCACCTAAGGGCTCAAGACGTGTCTACACACTCCATGACGCTCTCATGGTCACCACCGTTACGCTTAAATCCTGTTAGTTATAAAATTTCGTATAACGCTATCAAGGAGTTTGTTGACTCGCTTGGAATGACTCAGACACAAGAGATTCCTAAAAGAGAAATTATTGTAAAGCACGACAGAACGTCGTATTCAATAAATGATCTCTCACCGTTTACAACGTATAATGTCAATGTCAGTGCCATACCTAATGACGATTCGTATAGACCGCCGACCAAAATTACCGTAACAACACAAATGGCGGCACCTAAGCCAATGGTTAAACCCGATTTCTACGGCGTTGTTGAAAACGAAATCCTTGTTATTCTACCTCAGGCATCAGAAGAGTATGGTCCTATTTCACATTATTACCTAGTTGTAGTTCCTGATGACAAAGCTCACAATCACAAACACCCTGATCAATTTCTAACTGAAGAGTTAATTAAGAATAACGCTAGAACAGACGATGAAAACGCTCCGTATATTGCTGCTAAATTCCTACAAAGAAATATTTTGTATACTTTTCACCTTGGTAATGACGAACTATATGAAGGATTTCTCAACAGAAAATTAAATCCAACCAAAAAATACAGAGTTTTCGTTAGAGCTGTCGTAGACACACCTCAAAAGCATCTATATACTTCTAGTCCGTTTTCGGAATACCTATCGTTAGATATGCGTGAAGCACCTCCAGGAGAGGAACCAAGTCGACCTGATCCCAAAGATATGAATGGAGATCCAGAAATAAGAATTGAAGAGAACAGGAAGGAAGCTGGAATGCTTTGGGTTATTGGTCCCATAATTGCAGCGTTAATGCTTTCACTTTGTTTAGTATTATTGTTTATAATGAAACGTCGCCGACAGCCATGTAAAACACCCGATCAAGCTGCTGTAACTAGACCGCTGATGTCAGCTGATGTTGGTTTCGGTGCACCATCTGATCCAGTCGAAATGAGGCGGTTAAATTTCCAAACTCCTGCAATGATTTCTCACCCACCTATTCCTATATCGGAACTCGCTGATCACATTGATAGGCTTAAAGCTAATGATAACCTTAAATTCTCTCAGGAATACGAAAGTATCGAACCTGGCCAACAATTTACATGGGATCATTCGAACATGGAAGTTAATAAACCTAAAAACCGATATGCAAATGTTATTGCTTATGATCACAGCCGTGTTATACTGCAACCAATTGATGGAATACTTGGAAGTGATTACATCAACGCCAATTATTGTGATGGTTATCGTAAACATAACGCATACGTTGCGACTCAAGGTCCTCTTCAGGAAACCTTAGCTGATTTCTGGCGAATGTGTTGGGAATTACGAACTGCTACCATTGTTATGATGACTAAGTTGGAAGAACGAACTCGAATCAAATGCGACCAATACTGGCCAAGTAGAGGTAGCGAAACGTACGGTATGATGACTGTGACAATTGCAGAAGTCCAGGAACTAGCTACCTATTGCATCCGTACGTTTCAACTTACACGGAATGGTGGAACTGAGCGTAGGGAGATAAAGCAACTACAATTTACTGCTTGGCCGGATCACGGTGTTCCTGACCATCCAGCGCCCTTCTTGCAATTCTTACGGCGTGTACGCGCCTTGAATCCACCGGACGCTGGACCGTTAGTTGTTCATTGCTCCGCTGGTGTAGGTCGTACCGGTTGCTTCATCGTCATAGATTCCATGCTGGAAAGAGCCAGACACGAACGAACTGTTGATATCTACGGTCACGTAACCTGCCTCCGAGCTCAACGCAACTACATGGTTCAAACGGAAGACCAATATATCTTTATCCACGACGCGTTATTAGAGGCTGTTATCTGCGGTGATACGGAAGTGCCGGCTCGTAATCTACACGCACATATACAAAAACTCATGCGCGTCGATACTATTGAGAATATAAATGGGATGGAACTGGAGTTCAAGAAACTAGCGAATATGAAAGCCGATTCCAGCCGCTTCGTCTCTGCCAGTTTGCCTTGTAATAAGCACAAGAATAGGCTGGTTCACATTTTGCCTTTCGAATCCACTCGCGTCTGCCTCACTCCTCGTGATGGGTCTGATTACATTAACGCTTCCTTTGTCGACGGATATAGATACAGGGCTGCTTATATTGCAACTCAGGGTCCTTTGCCTGACACAACGGACGATTTCTGGCGAATGCTCTGGGAGCATAATTCAACAATCATTGTTATGCTGACAAAATTGAAGGAAATGGGCAGAGTAAGAAATATTTTTTTTTTAAATTTAATGTATAAGTATGTTGAAAATTTCACTAATATATTTTTGTTTTTAGGAGAAATGCCACCAATACTGGCCATCTGACCGCTCTGTTCGCTACCAATGCTTTGTGGTTGATCCGATCGCTGAGTACAACATGCCTCAGTATATCTTGAGGGAATTCAAGGTACGTGTTTTTTTTTTCACTTCTAGCTATAGATATTTTTCAACTAAAAGTTTTAGTATATGCAAGGTATGTCCTACCAAGTAGTAAAGTGTAATTACCAGTGACCGCATATCCGCTTCACATAACACAATACGACCCAACAAATTGCAGCTTTTGCTTAGGAAAATCCATCGTCTCAATCCTGTCCCGTAAGACTCTACAATGGGAAATGCTAGGAAATCACATAGCGTCTTATAGTACGAGACTCGTAGTAGTACATCCATCTTATATGTCAGATGTATGGGGAAATAATGTTTTCATACATGAAATAGAAGATAGCAGCTTCATTTCAGTATACTCAATGTAGGGTGTATCTCCACTAGATGGAGTTCTGACCTGATAACACATACTATGTACGAGTATATGTTATCAGGTCTATATTCTATACTTCTGGTGTTCAATGTTTGAGGGAAGTCTTCGTTTAGGGCATAACAATAGATGATCTATCTGTATCGTCAGAAATAGGTAAAGAGTTGTACATACTCAGACTAACTGCTAGGCGGAATAAGGAAGTACTACCCAGAAAACTAATAAGCGCGTCACCTTACAGGTTACGGACGCGCGTGACGGTGCTTCGCGAACAGTACGCCAGTTCCAATTCACGGACTGGCCCGAACAGGGCGTGCCGAAGAGCGGCGAAGGCTTCATCGACTTTCTGGGCCAAGTGCACAAGACTAAAGAGCAGTTTGGACAGGACGGACCGATCACCGTTCACTGCAGGTAAGTTATGAATGGTATTCATAAGTGCACTTAAGGCAGAGAAATGTGGACAGGCCGCATGGCCGTGTTATAAAAAAACCTAAATTAAATATTTTTAAACCGCCTAAATAAAAAGAGATGATGATTTCCAAATGGCTAAACAAGTTTTTCTGAAACATGCTAAGAACACCTTTCGATTACGACACCTTTCAAACGAGAAAACGGTTCGATGAACCGATTTTGATTAACTTTTTCTTGTTTGAAAGGTGACTTAATCTAATGAAGTTATGATGCTACAGACACACACATTCAAAAATTATACTAGAAACTTATAAAACACCCCTTTGTTTTCGCCGGGAGCTAAGAAGAAAGAATCAATGCAGTTTTTTTTTTCATGTAACGTAAATTGCTAATTATTAGATAAATATTTATAGTATGGTTATATTAACATATTGTAACGTATAAATAACCTTCTTACCTAACAGAGCATCTGGGCAATATATAAAAATACTTTTTTAACGATCTATTGATGTTAATGTGTAGTTTTTTTTTTAAGAAAAATATAGGAAGTTTTTGGTCTATGCCAGTGTGTTTTCTTTTGTTTTTTTTTTCATACTTCGTTTAATTTATTTGCTGGATGTGTAATAACGGCAGTAAGTATATATGTTTTATCTAGGGCAGTTTAAGTAATTATTGAAGGTGTCTAGTTTTAAAAAGAATTAATTTATGGAAAAACAAATACATACATACATAGAACATGGTGTAAGATTTTAATGTAAAAAGAAATATATACCCAAATTTCATTATTCAGGGAAAAACAGAGGAATATGTTTGTATGGACTACATGCCGCTCAGACATCGTCATCTTAACCAAGTCCTATCAGATACTATGCTTACGCAAAAAGATTGTAAATAGACTTCTGTGAAATGTCAGAAACGTTGAGATGATTTCTAATGCATCCAGATTTAGAAACCAACATTTTTGATGGGGGCTCAAGCTCAGGATATGAACTTAGTGGTCTAATTACATCATGTCATGTGTTTGAGCCGTGGTAGCTCAGATGGTTAACGCTCGCTGTAAATATAACAGAACGCGAGTAACCTGGGTTCGATCCCCGCCGGCACCAATGAAATTGTTAATTGCAATTTTAAGTGCTGATATACCACGTGCTCGGCGGTGAAGGAAAACATCGTGAGGAAACCTGCATGTCTGAGGAATAAGAAAAAAAAATATTTTGAAGATATGTAAAGGTCGCCAACACGCATTGGGGCAGCGCGCGGACAATTCCTTGCCCTAAAACCCTCTCAGAAATGAGGGAGGCCTGTGCCCAGCAGTGGTACGTATATACGCTGTAACTTTACTTTACATTACATGTGTTTGAATCCAAAGGTTGAAGGTAAAGTTTGTACAAAAAAATGCGAATTTGTAAAGTAGAACAAAAACGCAACCAAACTCGAAAAACGATTTTATAAACTGACTACGAAACTAAAAAGTACGAGTTCACTATTCGATTACTGTCGTGGACGACAAATATTTTAAGCTTAACTGGAATTAACGAGAATAATACTAGTGTCAAGAGCACTGCTAGTCTGCTGGTATTCTTTTTTTTTAATATTGTAGCATGTTGCAGCGTATTGTTGAGTGTATCTGTGTTAACAGCAGGTACGCTCATGGCGTATTACTTTCTAGAGTAGATAGCTTCTGATTTATTCGGAATTATCGAAACCGTGCGAAAGGAAAAGATGAGGGTGTTAGCTGAAGGGTATTTCGGTATTGCTCAGCGCGGGCGTGGGGCGCACGGGCGTGTTCATCACGCTGTCGACGGTGCTGGAGCGCATGCAGTACGAGGGCGTGCTCGACGTGTTCCAGACCGTGCGCACGCTGCGCACGCAGCGCCCCGCCATGGTGCAGACCGAGGTCAGTCTCTACACTTACAACTTACACCGCACTACTCGAACTTTACGCCACCAGTGCCACTGTGGAACTCTGCTGGGAATTGTCTAAATGTATAATTTTTTTATAAAAGTGAAATTACAACGAACTTACAATCCACCCGATAATGAATAACTACGACACGTGCAACCAACTTCAAACAAAGAAACGCTACACATACGTTGTCATCTGTAGAGATGGAATAAATCACAGCCAGTACTTATACCATTCAGACCGGAACATAACAGTGTAAGTACTGCTTACGTACCTACTCAGATGGACCTTCCAGTAAAAAGTACTTCCTAGTACAAAGGGACTCCTACAACCTTGTGAAGTAAATATCAATTATAGGCCGATTTCTTATATATCATAATATCTTATTTTAAATTACAAAATATTATCGTAATGAAATTGTTGTCGAAACCAAAACGCAGGTGGCACAATGACTCCCATTAGCGAACGATTCCCACTAGTTACACAATCGCACTACAGTTCTTTTTTCAGTAGCTTTTTATGTCAACTCATCAATGACAGGCATTTTTATGCGCGTTCAATAAAATATAGCTGTCAAACTGATACTCCATATTGCGTACAAACTTCACATATACAGGAAGTGCAAAAATTTAATTTAGCAATACACTTTTATTTCAACTATCGTTAATGTTATATTGCGATTGACGAAGATTGTTGTTTTCCGTAATATAAATAAAATAATTATCTCAGAATGGCCGTTTGTAATATTTACATAATATTGCCATAATTTCACTTTATTGATGATATTGTTATTCTAATGTTATCATTATCATTGTAGTAGGTCATACTCCTTTTTATAAGCCCGTAACGAGTTTTCAACTTCATACGTAATCCTCCTTCATTTACTGTAATTACCACGCATAAAAAATAGATTGATGATCGAATTACCGAATATGGCTGGTCTGGAGATTTTATATCATCATATTATTATCTTTTGTGCCTTTCACTAAGATTCTCTGTTATTTCCAATATACCAAAACTTTTTAGACATTTTGCTTAATAGAATAATACTTTATAAAAATTTATTTCATACAAATCAATAAGTATTTATATTATATTCTTCTTGGTAAGTATAAATATGAAAAGAAAATTTATCCGTTTATTTTTAGGACCAGTACGAATTCTGCTACCGCGCAGCGTTGGAGTACCTCGGCTCTTTCGACCACTACGTCAACTGACGCTGAGACTTGCTCGTCTAAGCGCCCAATCTCACGGAACCTGTCGTTTGTTCACCTAAAAATCTTCCTTTATCTATGTACTTAAATCACCTTGAATTACGTTGACATTGACATACAAATTGGCGCGTTTTTGTAGCTTTGAAGACTATTATGGCAACACTAGATTTTAATTTGAAAATTAATTATAGTGATGTTTTAAATGACTTACGAAATTACACACGTCGTCGTATTAACTCTTTGTAATAATTTTGGAAACTTTTACATTTTATTAGTAACACTATTATGGCGTTTAATTTAGATTGTTTTTCATCGACAGGACTCCGCGAACCTTACATAATTTAGCGTAGTGATGTCACCACGAACGTATTTACTCGTTCTTGCAGTTAACTTGAATGTTGTATACTTTGAGGCTAATCGTTTATCAGTGCCTAGATGAAAGCAACTTATGATGTAAATTTTACGATTGAGACCATAATAATTATGATTGTGAGTTGAAAGGGTAATAAATATAAACTATTTACTATCCAGTTAACTACTTACGTTAGTCATATAGGCTATGCGCACTATATTTGAAACACAGGCTCATTGTTCAGAGATTTCTTCACAATCTTATTTATTGATTGTCTTATAAACGTACAGTATCGATATAGAAAAGTTACAATCATTTTATAGATATGATCGACATGCCTATCATAATTAACGCATTACCAAATCAGTAATTAAAGCATATTAATTATTTGATTTTTTATTGATCATAAATAGACATAAAACTTCGGAAAAATACTGACCATATAACATATTAAAAAAACACATGTCCTATAGTATTTATAAAATTCTAAGATTGTTTCACTTCTACATCAATACTTATCTGTGACTTTCAACAAGGAGCCCTATAACGAACAGATATAGCGTTGCTAAAAATATATTAAAACCAGTTGACACAATTAGATGAATTTAATTTACAAACTATAAAAAACAGCTATTTAAAAATATCGCCTTGTAATAACGGTATTGAAAGTATAATTTGCTATTGAATCTACCTAATTAGTGGATTAAACCAGTGCGCTTAGAAAGTTTTTAAAGCAACTACGCGATATATAATATTCAAATCTGGTCGTCACATATATTATATAATACAATTGTAAAATGTATAAATAGTTATTGCAGCTGTAATTAGGAGTTTATTTTTCATATCGGGTGTTACGTACTATAAGTAGTGTAAATTGTGGTAACTCGTTTCATTATTGCAATATACCAACATTATAGACGAATCGGCTGTGTCGTGTGAAAATTCTGTGTCAATCCTGTGTGTAGTTATAAAGGTATTATGTAAATAGCTAGTTTTTTCCGTTATAGCATTTGCCAAAAACGCTAACCATTAATAACGTGTTTGGTTGACATATAAAAATCATTTTTGTATTTCACTTCCTTGGATATCTTTATCAAGCTATTAACTTACAAGAAAGTGTACCTAATATATCTGTTAACCTAAACACGTTATTTAATGTACAGTTTAGCTGAAGTAATAAATGTCTGTTTTCAACAATGTTCCTTACAATTTCAAGACCGTTGCCCAGTTTGGTTCCAGTAATGTTAATGTATATGCTTATAAAAAACAATATAACTCAATATATAATAGGCCATGGTTTTTACTATAATTTGTGGCTGAAGATAGCAAAATGACAGATAATTAATAAATTTTAAATTCCATATTTTTCCTAATTAGGTTAGGTGCAACTGTGCGATATTAGTAATCACTGCCTGCTTTAGAGATGATGGTGATTCGATGACATATCTATTTTTAGGTAGGAAAAATGTTTGTCTGTGTAATATTATCTTAGGATGGAAAGATTCGAGTGATGTGGATAGAATCGAATTGAGAATTCGAATGGGAAATCGAAATGGCATACGGCAGTGAAGTCTCGGGTCAATACGTGTTACCGAACTACTACGTTCGGAAACACTTTCTTAAATATGACAGCTAATGTTTTATTTTCGTATATTATTGTGGGTTGTTTTATGTGCAGCTACCAGAAAATTTATACATTAAGAACAAAGTGTTGCATCCCTCATCACACTATTTTAAGCTATCTTTAAGTGTAGTATGTTATTTAATATTTTACAATAACCCTTGCCTAGTATCGTATAAGGATTTTTAGGTTTTCCACTCGTTTTATACAATGTACCTTCTACTTGTATCGGATCTACTTATAAGTTAAAGTTGAGCTTTTAACTTAGTAAGATAGGGAATATATTGCGGTCTACGAAACGAGATTTTGCGATTTAACAAAAAAAATAGTAACCTTTGAATACACAACGTGAGCGCGATAATCACATTAGTCATAATTCATATTGGAGAAATGTATAGTTGCGTGAGAAATTTAAAGGTTATTAAAACATTAAAAATTTGTAATTTTATACTTCCAACCAAGTATAAATCCTTTACTTAAACTGGAAATTATGTTAAAACTATTAATAATACTGGCCAGGCTTTATTTTTATATCAAGCGATATTTTGTTAAAGTATAATAATTGCACTTTAGCTTCTGTAAACCATATCATTATCGATGTTGGAATATCACAAGATACATCTGCTATATATTGGTTTGAATTACAGCACTTTTATATATTTAATTTTTAAATACAAGCACAATTTAAATCCTTATTTGTATTATAACCGGTTAGCTTTACAATCGAATCATCCTTACAGAGTGATCAACTGTTTCCACGCAACTATAGACAGTTTCAAAAATGTTTAAAATAAATTTTCAATGGATTCGATCATGAAGATCGCTACTGCCAGTCGTTTCACTTAGCTCTAATGAAATTTGAAATTAATCGATAAAAATACGAAACGTACGTAGATATATTGAGAATATTGTTAAATTGATAGTGAAAATTTAATACTCGTTAATGAATCATGTATTTAATCAAGGTTCTAAGGCATCCACAACCAACGGAATGGGGAGGATTATTTGCGTGGGATCTACAGTAGGCAGCTTTATTTTTATAAGCTTTATGACGGCTCTACACACATCATCCAACTCTTCAATCGTTTCACTTAGCTCCAACACTCAATGTGTAGAGGGATGGTTCGGTCGCGTTGGATGGTTCATCCGAGTTTCTTCGACGATCTGCAAATCGATACCACAAGAAAGAAGCGTGATCGAGTTTGCCAGCTCTTACGAACTGGCACTCTACATATTATCTCAGTATTTCCTTTTATTTCAATGTATAATTTACATCTATAATTAAAGTTTTCACTAAGGTTCATTTTTAATTTTACGACGTCTAAACGGACCGTTTGTGTTTCAGTCTAGTTCAGAAAAGTTCGACCAAAAATCTTTGTGGTTGAACGGTTGGAATGTCGTGTAGCGCCACTTAGCTTTTTATGTATTTTTAATAACGCACGGGTTTTTTAAATCATTTTAATACATATTCCATTTAATAACAAATTTATATTGTTTAAAAAATTTAAGAAATGAAAAACATTAATTTACCATTAATTTCGTATTCTTATGAATCATCATGTGTGTTAAGTCTATAATAAGTTATTCAGTTAATATTGAAATATTAAATCATTTTAGAAATAAAACAATAATTCATTGATAAAATCACACTTTTTAGAATTCCTTTAAAAAAAATGTTTCCAACAAGCATCGTAAGCCGAACGCACACAATCGATCTCTTGTACAAACTGTCAAACTATTTTTAACGTAACGTGCAAAAGTTTTTATTCCACTTAGTTTATCGTCTGCGTCATCATTAGTTTGCGTTAAATATAAATTACTTTAAGAATATGGTCGATATAAACAACATGTTTTTTTTTTTCATTGCAAATGAAAAAACTTAATAAACCGTTGCGCTTGAATGTTTTCAATAATAGCAACGTTTAACAAATGGCAGTGTGTTTATAACCTAAATAGTTTCGCATGTAAGTCATATTGTTTTAGTTATTTTTAATCTGTGTTACGTCATGCCATATTACGAAGGTGCTGTAAGAGATAATTCCATTGCTTTAGTACAAAAGTTTGTTTTTTACAATTTTGTATAATTTCATTCTTTCTTGTTCCTCGATCATCAATTGTTACGTTTTGATTTGAATGTAAAAGACTGATATACTTATTTCTCTATTTTCTTTTTTCGAGTATTTTTAAATGTAATTGTGTAAGCTAGAATTTTAAAATGTAAAAAATCAATAATTTTTCGTGAAATGTTACAGAAATGCCTATTGTTATTTTCTTCCATTTATTATTTTAATGAAATCATGAATAATGTATGAACAAATTCAATAAAATATAACAATTTAAATATTCTTTAAATCTGATAGTTTCGTTTACAAATATATTAATGTAATAAACGATTACCTAAATTACCTCTCTTTTGTTAAAAAGTACAAATTAACAAACAGAAATTGTAACCACTCGCCACTCTGCGTATTTATATTTTAATTTTCTAAAAAATTTATAAAATGCATTTAAAGTGCGAAGCTTTGAATAATCATTCATATTTTAGTGCAATTGAAATTTTGGACGCAATGTGGCTAGCGGGACGGTGTGTGAATGTAATTAATGTAGGAATTTGTAGACGATTATTTTATAAAAATGAAATCCCTCGTCGCGTCTCGGGACACAGTGGATTCGCAAAATTATACATACTGTATATGAAGAAATAAATTTATGTGAGACCATAAACGTATGCTGTTTTATTGACTGTCATATTCCTCGATCACTGTAGTGACATCTTTTGGTCAACAAACAAACAATTTCGTGTAATACATAATAGCACAATAAAGATAGGATCTATAAAGATCACATCAGCAGCATGACAAGAGTAACACACATTGCTCAACAAATTAGTAAAATGAAATGGCGATGGCTGTCAATATTTTTATAAAATAAGGTTGGCAAACGGGTACACGGTCAACCTAATGGTAAGTGGATGCTGTGATACTTAGACACCTAATCTATCCTCGATTAAGAATCAAAATATACATACGT